TTCTTTTTTTTTTTCTAGAAATAGGGTAATAAGTTCTGTTCAGTTTTTAGATCAGAGTATACGAGGCATTTTCTTTAGGGTCTGTTGCACATCTCCTGTGAGTGTGCGTGCACGTACACACACACACCCCCCACTCATTTGCTGAGGCCTGAAATCTGAAAACAAAGGGTTCTCCCCTGTCCCATATCATCCCTGTTTGTCAGTGAGAACCAAAAAGAGCTGTGCCTTGGGCCTGCAGGAAGAAGAGTGCTTTCTTTAGGAACAGGATCCAGATAGAATTGTCAAAGTGAACACCTGACACGTCAGCCACAGTGGGCCTTGTTGATCTTCACTGGGCCCGGACAAGTGAAAACTCGGCAGGGGAGGTTTCTGGGGCCTGCAGCTGCCATTGAGATAAGCCACAGGGCACATGCTCAGGAAGGATGGAGTGTGAGTGTTTTTATTTCAGCACAATGACTTTCATGTAGACAGGAGTCCTTCCTGAGACATTTGTTTATTCTTGCTTAATTCCTTGTTTCTTACAGGACAGAGAACACCCCAATGATTGCTGGCCTTGGGAAGGTGAGCCCTGGTGACTGAGAGGATGAGTTGATTGCTTTGGTGTCAGTTTCCCCAGCAGCTCTAGTAGGAATCCGGGACTTTAGGGAGATCATGTTCATGATCTCATAAGCGGACTGACAAGAAAAAGCCTAGAATCTTATTTATCAGCCGGGAGAGCTGTACTTTTTCAGATCTGTGGAGTGGCGGCACTGGTGTAGCATCTAAAACGAAAAGATTCCTTGTCTCTGTCTCTTCTGACATGAGAAACTGGTATCGTTACAGCAGAGGTGAAGCGTCAGGCCACAGGTTCACACACTCCCAAAGGTGTCGGCAGCCCCTGTACCATCAACTCTCAGTCCCCGATAGGTCTGTGGGGTGTGAGACATCATGGCCCGTGAAGCACCTGCCGCCAGCCCTGCACCGGGCCCTGTCCTGCTTCTGTGACAGTAACCAGGCAGGGTTCCTAGTTGCGTCTCGGACCGCTCCCCCGCTGTGCAGGAGGCCTCTGCTCAAAGTGCACTTTCTTCAAGCAGCCCTCCATGAACCACAGCTACACTGGTCCCCCTGCCCCCTGCTGCCGCTCTGTGTCCCCCATCTGATGTTTCTCTGCAGTGTGTATGATGGATGCCCCACCTCCTGCTTCCCCTTTGAAGGGGCTCGTGGCCATGTCTGCCTTAGCATCCCCAGTACAGAAGAAAGGGCTTGGGCCCCTGAGGCCGGGCCTTGGGAAGAGTATGAATGGATTCCCTGTTAGAGTATTCAAAATTATATTCTTAACAGTGATAACTAAGGCTACGTTTACTAGAAGGAAGAGTGTGTGTGTGTTATGGAGTTACACTCTGTCACCCAGGCTGGAATGCAGTGGTGCAATCTCAGCTCACTGCAACCTTTGCCTCCTGGGTTCAAGAGATTCTCCCACTTCAGCCTCTGAGTAGCTAGGACTATAGGCGTGCGCCACCACGCCTGGCTAATTTTTGTATTTTTAGTAGAGACAGGGTTTCATGATATTGGCCAGGCTGGTCTCGAACTCCTGACCTCAAGGGATCCACCTGCCTTGGCCTCCCAAAGTGATGGGACTACAGGAATGAGCCACCGTGCCCAGCCAAAGAGTGCATTTTAAGTGGAGTCCAGTACCTGCTCATATTAACCTGAATGATGAAGCAGTGATGTGGTCCACAGGCTTTGAAATATCCAGGGTTCAAATCCTGGCTTGAAAGTTCACTTGCCATGTGCCTTGGGTCAGGTTGCTTAAACTCCGTGAGTCCTGGCTATCCCCCGCCAGAAGGGAGTATGTAGCAGCTTCCTAACTAGAGCCTCAGCTCACAATGCTCGAAGCCCCCCAGCCCCTGACCTCTGTGCTTCTGGGGTTGCATCTGCACCTGTAACAGCAGAAGTGCCAAGGCTCGGTCTCAGCCCCAGCACCACAGCCCCAGTGGTTCTCAGCTTCACCCAGCGCCGAGACCCTGACCCCACCAGCGCTCTAGATAGCCTCCCTCCGCCAGCCAGCCTGGACTCCATCCTGCACACACCTACCCTGCATGCCTTCCCCCACCCGTTCCTTTCTGCCTTGATTGTGTGCTGGCAGCCTTCCCTGCACCCTCGTGGATCTGTCTGTCCTGTCACTGTGATGCTAGCCTGTGCTCCTGCCTTTGAACTTGACATCTTAGACAGGCCCTGGCCCATCTCCTGGGAGGCCCATTCCTCTGAGTTCAAAACATGTCCCACCCTCTCTCCTCCACCCTCTTGCCACCCTGGGCACCTCCTGGTATCCAGGTTCTCAGGTCTGAAGTCCAGGAGGTGCCCTCAGTCCTTCGTTGTCATCGTCCCCTGCCTCTCATGCCACACCAGTCCTGTCTGTCTGGACTCCAAAATACACCCAGGACCTGCCTCATGTCTGTTTTCATGGCCACCAACCCTAGACCAAGGGCCCTGGATGCTGCCATGGCCTCCCAGGGGCCTGCTGCTGTCACTGCCCACAGGGCCGAAGGATGGCCATTCCACAGGCCGGTCAGACCATCACCCCTCCCTCAGAGCTTCACTGCATCTGCCCCGTGGCCAGGCCTGCAGGGCTGCCAATCTGTCCCTGCACTCTACACCCGCCACACCAGGCCCCTCTGTTCTGGAGACAGAATGGCTGGCTGTCCCCTGCAGAGCCGTTGCTGGGACGTTGTTCCCTGCCCTCGAGCAGCCATCTCTGTCACCAGCCCACCTCGGGCCTATGGGGTCCCTCACAGCGCTGACTGGTGGGTGGGGGTCTTCCCCTCTTCCCCTGCTTTTGTCCATCCACCTTTCTGGGACATGGGCTCCTCCAGGGCTGGGATCCCCCTTAGGGCTGCCTTGTTGGGGCATTTCAAGTGCCTGGCGCAGTCGGGAAGTGCCTGGCACTGTCGGGAAGTGCCTGGCACTGTCAGGAAGTGCCTGGTAAAGTTGATTTTGGTGGCACTTCCACATCCTGCAAATGGCAGCACCCAAAAAATGCATTCTGTCTATGACTCAAGAGAATGAGCAGTTTCAGGAAGTCTCACCTGTGCTGTTTAAAGCTTTTTTTCACTCCTTTGTTTTGCAAATAAATGTGCTTCCCCCAGGCTGCAGAGCTGGTGACCCAGAACTGGGAGGCTTACGAGGCCCACATGAGGGACATCCGGGATTACCTGGAGCAGAGGCTGGAGGTGAGCACAGCGTGGGGTGGGTGCATGGGGTGGGTGCTTGGAGAGAGGGTGTGGGGTGCTGGCGGACCCCAGGGCCTGTGGGGATTGCAGCAGAGCGTGGAGCTCATCAGGATGCAGTGAGGGAAGAATGGAGCGAAGTGCATTGGGATGAGAAACCCTGAAAGAGAAACCCTAGACCAGGGGGACGATCTTTTTCAGAGACACATGATAAAACATGCAGAGGTGGTATTCGTTATGATCTGTGTGGAAGGTTCATGTTTCAGAATATTCAGGTTTTCTCCTAATTAACTTTGCCTCCCATAGTCCGTTCCCATAACTATTCTAGGTAGATGCTGGTTGAAAAGTATTTACCTGCCGAGGCTGTGTTTCTGGAAAAGTCTAAATTTCAAGCAGTTGCTGGTCGGGGAGCGGTCTTTGAGGCTGTCACCAGCTATTTCAGCTTATTTTTTTCAGGCTGAATTTGGTCAGAAGAGAATCCATCTGAATAGTCAGTTTCCAGGGACCGAGCGGCTTCCCAACACCTGCAACTTCTCCATCCGGGGACCCCGGCTTCAAGGTGACAGCCCCTCACCCTGGTCTTTCCACAGTGTGAGCACAGCTCCTGCGCTGCCTGGATTCCGGGCTGAGCCAGCGCCTCCCACTCACCCTGCCCTGGGCATGACACAGCTTGTGTGGTCATGGGGCCTTGCTGGGGCTGCCGAGGGCAGGCTTGGGTGGCTATGCTGTGGCTTATGGGGCTCTTGCAACCAGCCCCTCCTCTCCCTGACTTGGCTCATTTTGCTGCTGCTGGGTTGTGGACTGTGGCGCGTTCTCATGTCTGACATTAGCACTGCCCCAAAAACTGTCAGGGAAGGAAGGAACATTAACTGAATGTTAGACATGTGTCTATTCTGTTAGCAATTTTTTTTTTTTTTTTGAGACAGTCTTTTTCTATCGCCAGGTGCCAGGCTGGAGTGCAGTGGTATGATCTCAGCTCACTGCAACCTCTGCCTCCCGGATCAAGCAATTCTCCTGCCTCAGCCTCCCGAGTAGCTGGGACTACAGGCACGCGCCACCACCTCCAACTAATTTTTATATTTTAGTAGAGATGTGGTTTCACTATGTTTGCCAACATGATCTCTTGACCTTCTGATCTGCCCGCCTCGGCCTCCTGAAGTGCTAGGATTACAGGTGTGAACCACCACGCCCGACCTCTGTTAGCAAGTTTTATTAAATATTTCATCAGAGTAGGCAAAAGGGGAGGCGATCAGTTTTAAAAACCAGCAGATGCTGGGCACGGTGGCGCACACCTGTAATCCCAGCACTTTGGGAGGAGGCCGAGGTGGGTGGATCACTTGCGACCAGTTCGAGACCAGCCTGGACAACACGGTGAAACCCTGTCTCTACCAAAAACTACAGAAAATTAGCTGGGTATGGTGGTGTGTGCCTGCAGTCCCAGTACTCATGAGGCTGAGGCAGAATTGCTGGAACCCAGAGGTTGCAGTGAGACAAGATTGAGCCGCTGCACTCCAGCCTGGGCTGCGCAACACTGAGGGAGACTCTGTGGTCACAAACAAACAAAACTAACCGGCAGAGTAAGGATCAAGTGCAAATCTGGATTTCTCGTGACATTTGCCTCGGCTGGAACAGTTAGGATCACCCCATCCCAGATGCGCCTAAGACCTGGTCTGCCCCAACACCCTGAGAGTGGAAGTCCGGGTCGTCGACCAGCCGCTTGTCATCTGGGAGGAAGTTATAGTGGCCCAAAAGCACGATGAGCTGCATCTGTAGATGAGTTTTTGGCTTCTGAGAAGATGAAGGTGTTGCTTCATTCTTCTTCCTGGATCATGCAGAGAGACCCGGCAGACGTGTCTGGCTCATGAAGAAGAGCCTGTGGGTACCGTCATGGTGGCTGCGTTCATGAGAACCCGGCTGAAACATGTTCTTGTGGGCAAGGAGGCATGGGTCTCCTTGATCATCTCAGATTCCTCACCATGGAAAGGGGAGTTCTCTGGCAACGTTCCTTTGTTCTGGGGTCAGACTTTGTATTCAGTGACGACCTGTGCTACTTTAAATGAGACGGTGATTCTCATTTTATTCTATTTATTTTTTGATTCGGGGTCTCACTCTGTTGCCCAGGCGCAATCACAGCTCACTGTTGCCTTGACCTCCTGGGTTCAAGTGATCCTCCTGCCTCAGCCTCCCTGGTAGCTGGGACTACAGGTTACAGGTGTGCACCACCACACCTGGCTAATTTTTTTGGGGGGGAGGGACTAAGTTTCACTCTGTCGCCCAGGCTGGAGTGCGGTGGCTTGATCTTGGCTCACTGCACGCTCTGCCCCCTGGGTTCAAGGGGTTCTCCTGCCTCAGCCTCATGACACACTGGCATTACAGGCACGCACCACCATGCCTGGCTAATTTTGTATTTTTAGTAGAGATGGGGTTTCTCCATGTTGACCAGGCTTGTCTCAAACTCCAGACCTCAGGTGACCTGTCTGCCTTACCCTCCCAGAGTGCTGGGGTCACAGGCGTGAGCCACTGCACCTGGCCATGGCCAATTTTTAAAAAAAATTGTGTAGTGATGGGGTTTCCCTGTGTTGCCCAGGCTGGTCTCAAACTATCCTACCTAAAGTGCTGGAATTACAGGTGTAAGCCACTGCACCTGGCCGAAATTCTCATTTTAATTACGTCGGCAGTTATTAATCTCTGTGCTTGTGAAAGAAGGGGGAAATGCCTTCCAGCTTCATAGAACTCTGACGTGTCTTCCAGAGCGCAGGTGTCGATGTGACATTGCCAGGCCTGCAAGCTCGTAAGGAAGGAGTGGGTCAGGACTCCAGGTGTCTTTGCAGGCAGTTGATTACAGGCACCGTTTTCAAGGCCAGCTTTGTGAGGCAGAACAGTGTCTGTGTGTGTGTCTGCGGCCAGGGGAGAAAGGAAGAGGAAGCATTTTCGTCGGCTCCTGCTGTGAGCTCTCTCCCCAGCTTTGGGCAACGCTGGAATTTCACCAGATGGCCTGGAGGGAGGGAAGCAGCCTGCGCCCAGCAGGACCCTGGGAAGGGAGAGAAGGGTGGCCTTGCAGGAGCCCCATCTCAGGGGCATGTGCTCTGTCTCCACAGGACGCATGGTGCTCGCACAGTGCCAAGTGCTGATGGCCAGTGTGGGGGCCGCGTGCCACTCGGACCACGGGGACCAGTAAGTGCTCTTCACAAACCCAGTCCAGGGCACAGCAGTGCTTCGGGCACTGGGTGTGGTGGGCAGGCGTCAGGATATGGCCACTGGGCCACGCTCTGGCTGGTGAAGCCAGCCCTACCTGGACCCTAGCGGGGCAGAGGGAGGGCTTCCTAGAAGAAGTGACCTCCAAGTTGCCGCCTGAAGGACTAGGACGTATGAAGGAGAAGGGGGCTTCTCTTGCTCAGTTCTGAAGGCAGGGGCAGCAGGGCCTGGAGGGGCAGTGTGGCAGGGGCTGGGGAGGACTGGGGTGGGCTGGAAAGGATGGGGACAGGCTGGAGAGGACTGGGGCAGGGATGGCCCGACTGTCAGTGCTCACTGAAACCTCCAGGAAGTGGGAGCCCTGAGGGCCATGATGTGAGACTCAAGTGTCAGATCAGCCATCTGCAAGATACAGCAGAGATTCTGGGATGGTGGTGACCAGCTGAGCGGGTGGCCTGGGCCAGGCAGAGGCTGTGGGGTGCCCAAGCAGCGGCCTGCTGGCAGCAGGGGAGAAGCAGTTCTGGGTCTGGCCTGCTAAAAATGTGAGGCCCCTGTGGGAGGTTGAAGTGGACGCGGGAGGAACACTCGAGGCTCCGGGGAGAGAGCAGAACTGCGGCCAGCAGCACGTGGTCATCAGGGTCAGGGTGGCAGGATTGTGCAGGAGCACCTGGAGTGAGACAGCGGAGGGCCCAGCTCTGGGGAAAAAGGGGCAAGATGAGGCCCTGGGCAGTGTCCGTGCCCTGCGGCAGTAGGGGCAGTGCAGGGCAGGGGAGGCAGGGGCCCGGGTGTGATGAGGGCAGGCCCCTTAACAGAGCCCACACCTCGAGCCTCGGACAGCCCTGCTTCAGGACACCCCAATGCGGTTATCTGTTCCGTGGCTAGATACTGGCTGGGTCCCTAGTGTCTGCAAAGCCCCGTGCCAGATGCCATGAAGTTACCAAGTGGCTCAGGCGGGCCCCACGGGTGAGGCACTGTCTGTGTCAGCATGAGTGTTCTCCAAGAACACTGTCTGAGACCCCTCAAGGACAGGAGCTCTCCTGGGCCCCGGTGCTCAGTGCAGGAGGGGTATCGTTGCCTGGGGGTGTCGAGTGCAAGAGAACTCCATGGGGAGGGCGGGGGTAGGGGCGACTTTGAGCTGGACCTTGATGCCGGTGGCCTTAGGGGTGTGTTTGGTCTGGGTAGTTCAGCAGGAGGGGGGTGTCAGGCGGGGAGGCGGGCACCTGGGTGGGCACAGCCCACTGGGAAGTGGCCCAGAGCAGCAGGAGCTGTGCCTCTTCCCTGTGCCCTCAGCGGCAGCGCAGTTTCTCCTATCCCAGGCCATCCCCAGTGCTGCTGAACTCTGGCGTCCCCTTCGATGTGGCCAGGAACGCGCTCCGGCTCAGTGTGGGCCGAAGCACCACCAGGGCCGAGGTGGACCTCGTCGTGCAGGACCTGAAGCAGGCGGTGGCGCAGCTGGAGGACCAGGCCTAGCGCCGGTGCCCTCCCTGCCTGCTCCTAGGAAGCCCATCGCAGGGCACAGGGTTGTCCCTTCAGCTCCCTCCTACGGGCTGTGCCAGGATGACTGTCTCATGCCCCCTTCTGCATTTGGTCCTGGAGCGCCTGCAGGGTAGTGTGCACTTCCCCCCCAAACCCTGCCCGGCTTCCTTCCCTGGACCCCTGCGGAGCTCACAGGGCCCGGGACACCAATGCCCGCATGGGACCACCCACAGCATAGGACCACCCACAGCATAGGACAGCCCACAGCATAGGACCACCCACAGCATAGGACAGCCCACAGCATAGGACCACCCACAGCATAGGACCGCCCACTGCATAGGACCGCCCACTGCATAGGACCGCCCACTGCATAGGACCGCCCACTGCAGAACTCACACAGGCCCATCCTCCAATGGTGATGTGGAAACACCAGCTTTATCCACCCTCTCTCTGGGAATGGGGCAAGCCTATCGTGAGTGCACTTTCCTGGAACGTCGTGTTTTTATCTAGAAGGTAGAATCCAAGTATTTATAACTCATCGTCAGGCAAATGCTATCATGAAAATAGGAAACTGATTGTTTTGCTTTGATCGTGGCTTCCCACGTGCGCCTTTCCAGAGCAATCACTTCTCAGGCGCTTTCCAGAGGTTGCCTCCACCAGCCCTGCTCCTCTGGCCTCGGCCACAGTGGACCCAGCTGTAGGGTCATGCCCTACAGGGTCACGGGGTGTCCCCTGTCACTGTGCTGAGGCGCAGGATCCGAGAAATAAAGAGACAGGACACAGAAGGACAAAGAAAGTGCAGCTGGGCTTGCTGGGGGGTGGGCACGCCACCTATAAGCGGAGACAGACGAGGCCCCGAACACCCAGAAGCATCTATTTATTGGGTATAGTTTGGGGGCAGGGTAGTGAGTGAAGTGATCTGAAGGATAGTGATAGGGTCAAGACAATCAAGTGAGCGGTAAGCAAGGGGCCCACCCCCATCAGGTCACCAAGGAGGCGGGCGGCACGCAGTAAGGAGGGGGCAGTGTGCATCATCTCATCTATGGGCAGGCTACTTCTAAGGATGTCTGTAGGAGGATGCTTTGAGCCAGCACGGTAACAACAGAGCTGACAAAGTTCACAGCCGCCAAGGCACAGTTATACCGGAGGGTTTTTTTTTTTTTTTTTTT